TGAGGTAGCACTCTCTTGACAAAATAGTCCAGAAAGTCTTTGTGATAAAATGAGCCTTGTACAAAATTTAAAGAAAAGAGGGAATCGATCTTGTGTGTGTATATATATATGAGGTAAAAAATCACACCAGAAAGAGAAAATAGCTATATAAAGGTCTGTGGCTGGAATAGGCCGGACATGCTTCAAAAAAACAGTATCACAGTAATAAGAAATCATGTCTCACCGCAGCACATTAATAAGTAAAACCAAAATAGAAGCGATTAGATAGGAAGCATGGATTTTAGGGCAAATTTTATCATTTCCTAGAAATTTTGATTAGGTTATTGTTATTCTAGTACATTTTATTATGTGAAATGATTCTCCAAATTAAAAGAGATATATCTGAAATGGAAGCAACAAGGAGCTCCACAAATCTTCGCACCAAAAAAAACATGACTAGAGAAAATTTTAAAAATCAATTATTTAGCATCTCAAGAAACTATCTTAATTATATCCCATGAATGAAAAAACATTTCTAGTGAAATCTATGAAATCTCAAAATAGCAATAAATACTATATATACAACTAAGAACAAAATAGAAGAGAGGTAAAGAGGAAGCAGGGAGGAGTTCAAATACTTCCCCAAATTACATAGTGTGTTGTTTTAAAAATATTTCAATATATATGCTGATTTGTTCCATTTCTATTAATAGTTTATCTTAGTTTATTGAAAAAAGTTTGCTTTACTATCAGTTTATTTCTTTTCTGTAAGAATCTTTTAGGTCTATGTCTTGTACTATGTAACTACATGGAAAATGATATATAGTGTAATATTACTGTCCTTCTATTATTTATCATAATTTGTTTTACTTTTTATAAAACAAAAAACTAAAAATTCTTTTATATTTGAGCCACAACCTATGCCAGCTCAACCTCTTCTTAATTTCTCACGAAGAGTAGTTTCACAGCAGCAGAATGTCCCTAGAAACATACTTATCTCTCTTACTATCTCTAGCAGGACCTATCCTTACAGTTGAATTATCATAGCGGGCTGGACTGTGGGACACAAAGGCCTTTAGTAGCCATGCTCAGAGGGCATCACTAAAAAGCAGATGCTAATTACTGATTTCCATAATAGAAACAAAGTCTTTACATTATAAGTGCCTGCAAACCTTAGCACAAAAATAACATATATATACAAATACAAGGCTACAAAATGCCTCCAAAAGATCAGAACTCTCCCAAAACCAATCCCCAATGCACTAAGAGTATATGCAAATAAATTATTTGAAAGGATAAAAACGTCATTTAAAACAGATCAATAAAGGGTATTTTTTTGCAGAGATCCTTTTTTATTTTAAAAAAATGAGATTAAGATAAAAGAGGACATAACAACACAGGTCAGAACAGAACAATTTAAGCAACACAGTGTTTTACCACAAGATAACCTGACATAACAGTAGGTACCACAGTGTCTCTTTCCTTGAAATATTTGAGTATACCTTCATATACTATAGTATCAAACATAAAAAGATAGTGTAAAACTATTCAAGAGAATGAAAATATAACAGGGTATTTAGAATCAACTAATAGAAAATGAACAATGGTTTCTATATTATTTCCTTGTCTATAAAAATTTTTGTTTATACTATCATATATAATAAAATCCAATAAGATACAATATGATAAGACCAATGGAGACAGAAGAACAAAAGCTTGAAGGGACTTCAAAACAAGATGATGTTAAATCAGCACTAGCTATTATAATGTCTTGTTTTCTTCAAAATAGCTGTTCATATAATCACAGACAATAAAATCAAACAACCTAGTATAAAACCAATCCACTTAATGAATGAAACCATTATAAGGCTTCAAAGCAATATAATGGGGGATCATGATTACCACATACTTCTATGTATTCTTACCATTTCTTACACTAGGGAAACTACTTGTTATTTATACATATTGAGTTTGATTTATTTCACTTATGAATATGGTCTTAAGCTGTATCCATTTATTTATAAATATCTCAATGTGATCCTTCTTTATAGCTGAGTAGTACTCCATTGTATAAAAATACCACAACTTTTTTATCCATTCCTCAGTTGATGGACACTTAGGTTGTTTCCAAGATCTACCTATTACAAATTGTGCTTCTATAAACATGGGTGCCCATATTTCACTGTGCTTTGATGTTTTCAGTTCTTCTGGAAATATGCCTAGAAGTGGAATAGCTGGAACAAATGGGACTTCCAATCTCAGCTTTTATAGGAATCTCCAGACTGCCCTCCACGATGGTTGCACCAGTCTACACTCCCACCAACAGGGCAGGAGAGTTCATTTTTCCCCACACCCTCTCCAGTATTTGTTGCTGGTAGTTTTCTTGATCCTGGCCAATCTTTCAGGAGTGAGATGGAATCTCAGTGTGGTTTTAATTTGCACTTCTCTAATGAACAATGATGATAAACATTTTTTCATGTATTTATTTGCCATTTGTATTTCTTCATCTGAGACTTGTGTATTCATCTCAGATGCCCACTCTTGGATTGGATCTTTGGATTTTGGGGGTCTGATTTTTTTTAATTCTTTATGTTTTAGACAAAAGTCCTTTGTCTGAGGGACAGTTCACTAAGATTTTTTCCCAGTTTGTGGTTTTCTTTTCACTATGCTGGAGATTTCTTTTGATATGCAGAAATTTTTTAATAAGAGGCGATCCCAGTTATTGATTCTGGGAAAATTTCCCATGTGGTTGATCAATAAGGTTTGTAGAAAGCACAAAGCAAATATAAATAGATAATGGACTTAATAAACAAAACAATCAACAAGTTTAGATGAGACACTAATAAAAAACTAAATCAAGTAAACAAAATGATACAAAACAAATGAGAGTTTAGCAGAAAATTCAATCCAGGAAAAAAGGTACCAAACAGAAATCCAAGAAGTTAATTCTAGTATAAACCCACTGGAATGACAGCAGACTACTCAACACAAACCTTAAAAGCAAAGACTTGAAGTGAAATATTTTAAAGTCTGAAAGAAAACAGGCCATTTGTAAACTTCAGCAGGAGAGAACCAAGTTTCACCAGGAAGTGATCCCCACCTGGAAACCAGTGCCATCAGCAGCCTGCTGCCCCAGTGGGGACAGCCCAAGCCAAGCCTCCCTCCATGAGTCAGTGCCATTTGGGGACTATGACAGGAGAAACTAGGCCTCACCAAGAGGTGACCCCCACCTAGAAACCATATCATTTTCATTGTTTTGTTGGGTTGAGTTTTATTTTCTTTTGTTTGATTATGTTAAACCTGATGGCATGAGAAGCTATTTAAAAGATAGCAAGACATTATGGTAGCCATTTTGAATTTACTATTGGCTTGTTTTGAAGTCATTTCTTGCAGTCATTGTTTTTATTGTTTCTATTCTATTCTGTTCTGTTCAATTTTTACTATGTCTGAAGGTATCTGCAGCTATTTTGAAGACAAAAAGTCATTATGGTAACTTTATTTTGATTGGTTTTATTCTCTTTAAAATAAAAAAGAGAATAAAAAATAAAAGAAAACAACTTCCTATCTTTCAAAACTGATGCAGAAACGAAGTATTGCCATGACAAACAGCAAAGATCTTAATAGGTTCATGGACACAAAAGGAGCACTCCACAAAATGCTCAAGGATATACTAGAGCAATGCTAAAAAGTAAACACAATGAATACACCAGGCAGGGTGTACATTTAAGCAAAAGAGGAAAAAGGGATCAGCAACAAGACAGGAACAAGTCAACAATATTTAGTAATAACTGTTGAAGTGAATGATCTCAAATCTCTGTTCATAAGATACAGAGCAGAATGAATCAAGAAATATAACCCGAGTATCCTGTATAAAGCCTAAAGCCAAAAGAAGGGAGGAAATTATAAAAACCAGAACAGACATGAATGCAATAGAGAGTAAGGAAAGAATCCAAAGAATCAATGAATGGAAGAGTTGGTTCTCTGAAAGAATAAATCAAATTGATAAGCACTTAGCCATCCTTATTTTAAAAAGGAAATAAAAAGCTCACATTCATGGAATGACAAATGAAAAATGTGAAATCACTACAGACTCTACAGAAATACAAAAGATCATCAACACCTATTTCAAAAACTTCTACCCACATACGTTCCATAACACAGAAGAAATAGAGAGATTTCTAGAAACGTATGAACAACCAAAGCTGGATCAAGAACATATAAAACTGCTGAATAACCCAGTTTTTATTAATGAAATTGAGAATGTAATTAAGTTCGTACCTACAAAGAGGAGCCCAGACCCAGACAGATTCACTGTGGAATTCTACAAGAAATACAAGGAAGACATAATGCCAACACTCCTGAAACTCTTCAATGAAATTGAAAGGGAAGCAATCCTTTCTCAGTAAGTCATTTCTGGAAGTAAATATTACTCTAGTACCAAAATCTGAGAAAAACCCAACTAAAAAGGAGAACTATAGGCCAATCTCCCTAATGAACATAGACGCAAAAATTCTCAGTAAAATATTGGCAAACAGGATGTAGCAAATCATCAAGAAAATTATACAACACAACCAAGTAGGATTCATCCCAGGCAGGCAGGGATGGTTCAACATACGCAAATCAAAAAATGTAATCTACATATCAATGGAGCCAAAAGTAAGAATCACATGATCATTACTATAGATGCAGAAAAAGCTTTTGATAAGGTCCAACATTCATTTATGATAAGAACCTTACAGAAAATTGGAATAGATGGTCTTTACCTCAATATGATAAAGGCTATCTATGAAAAATCAACAGTCAGAATCATATTAAATGGCCAAAAACTGAAAGCTTTTATCTTAAAATCAGTCATAAGACAAGGATGTCCCAGGGGAGGAGTAAAGATGGCAGATAGATAACAGCTGGCTACAGAGGCTCCCTGAGATAGTCAACTTAGAATTCAACATAATACAGAGTAGGGAACCCCAAACAGAGGTAGATGAATTCTCTCATCGCAAAAAGAAATTAAGGTGACTTGCCGACCATCCGAGGTCCCGCTGCAACTGGCCGACGCCGTGACTTGCCAGGGTCCCGCCGTGACTCGCTGAGGTCCCGCCACAACTGGCGAGGTCCTGCCGTGACTTGCCAGTGTCCCTTGCGACTGGCCAGGGTCCCGCCATGACTTGCTGAGCTGTCCGAGGTCCCGCCACTTCGACTCACTGGAGGCGCAGTTACATTGAGTTTGGGGGTCAGCAAGCCAAATGGAGAGCTGAGTTGGTAGGGAGCCTACATCAAACTGTGGTGAGTGATGGGAGTGGAGCCATTCCATAAATAGAGGGGCTTAGGTGGATGACATTTTGGACCTGGGAAAGACTTGCAAGTACAAGGGGCAGCAGTGACTTCAGTCAATTGTTCTCTTCCCAAAAGGGATTGGAAGAGTGAGCTAGGCCTGGGTCATGTAACCCGGCTGAGACCCAATAGGTTATCCGAGGTCAAGTCCCTGCAGCGGTGGTGCACACTAACCACACTGGCCCAGTGGGGCCTCAGAGGTTTGGCTGGTCTGTAGGGGAGGTAGCGTAAAGTAATACAGTAATGCAGGCCACAGCAGCTTGACTGATCTAGAGGGGAGGAGATGGCATACACTGTCCCTGTCTGCAACTCACTAGCACACTGCAGTGTGAAGGGTCATCTAGCCAGTATGATTCAGAAGAATTGTAACCAGCAAAGAAACAAACTGGGGCCTCCTGGAAGAAACAAAAAAGATGGGAAGAGGAAGCAATAAGAAAAAGTCCCCAGGTTCCAACCCTGAGAACATGGACCCTGGACAGTTAAATACAAAGAAGAATGAGAACAGCAAACATGCAATATCAGACAGAGAGCCAGTGGACATCAAGAGATATAATCAGGACCTCATAGATGATTTCAGAAGTGAAATATTTGGCCAAATAAAGTAAGATATAAGAAGATCAATAAAAGAGATACTAAGCACCCCTCAAGCAGACACAGACGGAAGAAGAACACAGGAGAGAACCATTTGGTTTAGAATATAAAAAAAAATATAGAATACATGAAGAAGATTCAAAGAGACCACCAGGAAATTAAAAACTCTATGGAAAGATGGAAAATCTGCTTGAAAGAAACTAAGGATTGATTATTCAAACTGGAGGACAATTTTGCAATGTGGGAGTATGAAAGGGAAAACTTTTTAAAAATAACAAGGAAACAAGCAGTAACAATACAAAGGATAGAAGACGACAAGAGGATGTACAACTTGAGAATATAGAATGTGAATGAAGAAGCAGGGGTATGAACAAAGGAACTACAAAGGCTCTTCACAGAAATAGATAAGGAAAATTTCCCAAACATAGGAAAAGGAAATAATATTCTGATATATGACGCATACAGAACTCCAGCCACCTACAACCAAAACAGAGCTGCACCGAGGCATATAACAATCAGGATCCCAGAAATTCAATATAAGAACAGAATATTAAAAGATGTTAGAGACAAAAAAACAGATAACCTACAAAGGAAGGCCCATCGGAATAACAGTAAACTTCGCAACACAAACCATCAAGTCAAGAAGAGCTTGAAGCAAAATATTCCAAACCCTGAAAGAAAATAACCTCAACCTCAGACTGATATACCCTGCTAAACTGTCTCTAGAAATTAGTGTAGAAACAAGATGCTTCCAAGACAAAGAGGAACTTGGGAAATTTGCAACCATCAATGCAACTCTACAGAGAATATTACAGGGCATTCTAGAGAGAGAAAAGTACTAGGATTCCAGGAACAGAGGCAGAGAGGTATAAATGAATGGAGCAGAAAACAGAATGAAGAAGATAAGCAGACAACTGATGGCAAAAAAATAGCATAACAGAAATGAAGCAGAGAAAATTTTATTCAAAACTGATACGATTGACAGTATCAAATCTGAAAGTATAGGCAACTACACAGGGATGACAAGACTCAATGATACATTCTGGTTTGATAACTGCCAGTTTTTGAAGTTCTATATTAAATACAAAGTTGTGTTTTTATTAATGTTATATACCGATACATTGAATTATACTATGTCTGATGATATAGCCAATTCTATTGGAGATAACAAGAGACAACACAGGAACTATGGTAGAACGATTTGTACAATGGTCTTATATGTTTATTTTGTTACATGTATTTATAGGAATGTTTTGTTTTGCCTTGGTTTGTTTCTCCCTCAAATATAGAAATACATGTTAAGACTCATGCATGTGTAGAATCTATAAAAAGTTTACGAGAACTGATCATACGACACCTGATGAAATGAACAGATACTTTGAAGAAAAAGAGACACTAAAATACCCAGTGCTGATCCTGGAGTATCATAATGTGAAAGCCAGCAATAGTATCATTCTTTGTTCAGAGTGATATTAGCCTACTTGGGTTTATTCAATCTCAACATAATTGAAGATATGGATAACTGCATGTATGTTTCAGTGTATAGAATTGATAACCATATTTCTAAGTTTTTGCTGGACAGTTGAACAGAACCCAGTGCAAAATCACTGTTTGAATCCCCACTTTATAAGCTCCACTTTAGTATCTTGAATAACTATTTATAAGAAGACAATCTGTAATCATCAACTAGTGATTTCCTACTGTTTATTATTTTCTTTGAAATTATGTATGATTTCTACCCATTTTCTGTTTTGTTTAGTCTTTGTTTAAATTAAATTAAAAAAAAAGACTCTACAGTTCCCAGTGCTGATCATGGAATTTCATGATGTGAAATCCAGCAATACTATTATTCTTTGTTCAGAATGATTTTAAACTGCTTTAGTTTATTTAATCTCAACAAAAATGAAGATATGGATAACTGCATGTATGTTTAAGTGTATAGGATTGACAACCATGTTACTAACTTTTTGTTAGACAGTTGAACAGAACTGTTTGCAGTCTCAACTGTCTGAATTCCCACTTTACATGTTCCATTTTTGTATCTTGAACAACTATTTGTAAAATAAAAATATGTAAATATCAACTAGCGATTTCTTGCTGTTTATTTTGTTCTCGGAATATATGTATTATTTCTACCTATTTTCTGTTTTGTTTAGTCTTTCCTTTGATAAAATTTTTAAAAATGACTTAAAAAATAGGATGTCCCTTATCACTGATCCTATTCAAGATAGTACTGGAAATTCTAGCCAGACCAATTAGATAAGAGAGAGAAATAAAAGGAGTAAAGATAGGAAAAGAGGAAGTTAAATTATCATTAGTTGCAAATGACATGATACTCTACATAGAAGACCCCCAAAACTCCATTGAAAGACTTCTAGATATAATAAATAAATTCAGCAATGTAGCTGGATACAAAGTTAACACACAAAAATCAATAGAATTCCTATACTCTAACAACAAAATCACTGAGAAAGAAGTAAGAGAAGCCACACCCTTCATACTAGCAAACAAAGAAGTGAAATACTTAGGAATTAGTCTCACAAAAGAAGTAAAAGGTCTATATAGGGAAAATTATAATACCCTGGAAAAAGAAATTGAAGAGGACCTCAGAAAGTGGAAAGACATCCCTTGTTCAAGGATAGGAAGAATAAATATTGTGAAAATGGCCATTCGCCCAAAACTGTTATACAGATTCAATGCAATCCCAATGAAAGTACCACTAACACACCTCATAGATCTAGAGAAATTACTCCTAAAATTCATCTGGGACCAGATGAGACCTAGAATAGCAAAGGCAGTTCTAAGCAGCAAAGACAAGGCAGGAGGCATCACAAACAAATTGCTCTAAAACAGTTGTCAATTGTACATATGTCCCCTTTGACATTGTAGTCCATATTTTATTTGCCACAAACACAATTTTTTGGTAGACAGAGAAGGGAAGGCTTTACTAAACAACAAAGTCAACAGTTATATATCAGAAGAGAGGTCAATAGGAACAGAAGGGTGTGTTATTTAGTATTAAAAAGTAGCTGTAATTGTCTTTTTGACTAGTATATAACATGAGACATAAGGAAAGAGGACAAGAAAGTCCACATGTAAAAGAAAGTAAATATTCTTAATCCTGAATACATCATGGCAGAGCTACATATAACCAAAGTAGCAAGCCTCTAGGTGAGAAAGGAATAAATTACAAAAAGGTAAAAATAAGCAAGACCACTTTAAGGAACCCAGGGACAGTTACCAGATGACATGAAAGGAAAGAAAATTAGAAGGGACCATAATTAGATATTGTAAACTAGCTGAGACAGCCTTCCCAGTAACATAAGCCCCATGAAGTTAGGAAATAGTGGTACAATCACTGCTAAATCCATAGCCCCAAGCATAATGACTGTTCATTAGTAGGAACTCAAATATTTGCTGAAGAAAAATAAAATGAATAATCATCATCACCAGTTTTGGGATTTCCTACATTTGAGGCAGGGATCTGCGCTTACCAGATTTATACACAAATAAGGAAATCAATATTGTTTGTGTTATATCTATAAATATTTGTAACCAGATTTTCCTAGAATGTATTTCAAATATTCCTATTAGTACTGATATTTAGAGGAAAGCATTAAATAGATGGCATAAGACAAGTCTTCTATTTTCCTTGATATCTGAATCAAATTGCACTTCCATATGTAATCTGAAGTAACAATTTCAGTCCTATTAAATCCCAAAAGAGAATCAATAGGATGCATTATGTGGCATTTTTAGCTTACAATAGAAGTAAAAGAAAGTAGCTATAGTAGAAACAGAAGCTGTCACTTACTTTACATGTTTCAAAAAAGTCCTTTTACCTAATGAGATGGGCTGTAAATTGCCGAAGAAAGGCAGCTTGAATTTTTTTTTAGCAACTTGAATTTTTTTTTTGCAACTTGAATTTTTAAAAGTCAAAAATGCTAAATGATTAAAGAAAGCAAATACTGAATTACTAGTAATGCAATCCACAACACAAAATTTGCACACCTATTTTCTGGACACTGTAGCATCTTGAAATGCTAATACAGTTGACAACGATAAGCCATGCATCACAAAAAAATCAAATTATATATGCTTTATTCAAACTGCATCTTTTTACACTCAACTTGTCCTCTAACACTTTGGAAAAACTGAGCTTACCAGATACTTCACCACCCCCCTCAAAAGGAAGAAAAACAGGCTTACAGAGAGAGAAAAATGAATTTTAGCTACTCTCATGTCAAATGTAGGTACCTGTGGAATAGCTGTGTAGAGGAGGCTTGTGCAGAGATTTCAATAATGATGCCCTATGTCATGTCTCTTTAATGTATGTTATAGATATGATCATTGATATATGCCACATGCAAGAGTAATTAAGAAACATAGGTACAATTGGAAACTGTACACATTAGTTTTGAGCTAATGAGATGATGCCTACAATAGAGATTTTAGGGAGCTGTCAGCATACATGGTGCTTGTAGAAACCACACAGAGGAACCTGCTCTCCCAGCCATGGTGGACTAACTGGTACCAGACTTTTCCTCCTGCTGTAACAATTAGAACATCAGGTAATATACATGAAACCAGCTCCCAAGAGTTAGTGCCATGCACAGCCTGTCTGAGAGAGAACCAGATGCCAGCCCTTTCCTGTGAGTCAATGCCATTGGCAGATTGTCAGGGAAGAGAACAAGCAGTCAACAAGAAGCTAAGACTTCCTGTATGACAGCATCAAGCACAAGCACCTCTCCTGTGAGTCAGTGCCATTTGCAGACTGTGGGAGAGGAGAACAAGCAGTCAACAAAAACATAAGACCTACTGTGAGTTGGTACCATGTGCAAAAGCTGACTGGGAAAGAATCAGACACCAGCCCCTTCTGGCAGGTGGGCAGTGAGACAAAAAGAGAAAACACCTGGCCCCTCCCCCCACCTCCTATAAGCCACTGGTTGATGGAGAGAAACCCAGACTGTGATTCTAGCTAATGACTTACTACAACTTACTGTTTGTAGTGTTTAGTGTTTCACTGATTTTCAGGCTGAAAGTTGGTAGTCTGAACATCTATTCAGAGGACAAAAATATACAATGTGGCATATATGGGGGATCTCCTTCTGAAGGTGGTAGCCATTGTTAATTCCCTATTATCTTGTTTCAAAATCATATATCATTCACATTGTTTTGTATGTTTGGGTTTTATTTTGTTTTATCTTGTTTGATTTTGTGTTATCTGATGGCATGGGCAGCTATTGCCAAGATAACAAGATACATGATGGAAGTCATTTTGGATTTACCATTATCTTGTTTTGAAGTCCTGTATTTCATTCACTGTTTTGTTTTTGTTGGTGCTATTCTGTTCCATTGTGTTTCATTTTACTATGTGTGAAGTTAAGGGAAGCTATTTTGAAGACAATAAGAAGTATTATGGTAACTATTATTGATGTCCTATCTTGTTTGGAAATCCTGTGTCACTCACACTGTCTTGCTTGGATTGGCTTTATTCTGTTTTATTTTGCTTTTATGCTCTTTAAAATAAAATTGAAAAAAATATATATATATAGTTATATATGAAACCACTCTCCACAATTGTTGAACAATGTACAACATGGGACTATTATTTTAAGAAAAGAGAAACAATCCCTATAGTGGCTACAACTTGCTACCTAAAACTCAACATGCCAGTATTACTCAACTGAAGAAAAAAAGTTCAGAATTCTAAGAGGCTGATATAGATAGAATTTCCAGGGCACAGTACCAGAGAAGGAGCTCTTTTGATAAAGAATTCACAAAAACCTACCTATGGGTCCCCTTGAATCAGTCACTAAACACAAAGCCTTATGTGTATAATAAGCCCTAGGATGAAACTCCATAGGCTGGCCCAAAACCACCAGGAAACTTTCAGGCAAATATTCTCAAAATTCACACAGAACTTGGAGACATCTTTGTTCTAAACAGTAAGAAAGAGAAAACAAGAGAAGGCAGGCCTTACTAGGAGGTCTAAACTAGCCACTGAATACGTTATGTTTGGCCTCACAAAATTTACAAAGAAGTTTTGAATAGATTGAGCTGATCCACAGATAACTGCATACCAAGCAATATTCAAGGCTTGTTTGAAGAAGTCAACAAATCAAGACACTCAATAAATCATAGTATCCAGCATCCAATAAAAATAACTAGATATATATCACAAGGAAAATGTGACCCATAAGCAGCACAATAAAATCAATTGACAGAAAAATATGGAGAAAAAGAAACAAAAGGGAACCAAGACAGGACTCTGGGAAACATCCAGATATGATTTAAAAAATAAGAGGAAGAAAAGGATCCAGAAAGAGGTAATAACAAGGAATAGAATGAGGATTCAATCGCGCCATGGAAGCCAAGTGAGGAGAAAGTTCCCAAAAAAGAGGAAGTGATCAACATGGAGATAAAGTGAGAGAATGAAGAAGACTCACCATTTGAGTGGACCTACTAAGCATGGCCAAAAGTCTAGATGAAGACATAGAGATAGAAGCCAGACATCAAAAGGCATTGAGAAGTGAAATTCATGAGAGATGACAACCATGTTTTCAAGGAAACATTGTTTCTTATTCAGGGTGGCAAAAAGATATGTACATTCAACCTTCAGAAATATTTTTAAATACACCATAGGTATGACAGCACATGCTTCTAGGTCCCAGCTACATGAGAGACTGAGGCAAGAGGATAACTTGAGCTCAGGAGTTCAAGATCAGCCTAGGAAACAGATGTATTTTAGTATATATGCTGCAGAAACAAGCACGAGGGCAGCAGACTTAGATCTTGGTTCAAAAAAAGAAAAACATTCTACAACTTTCCTTATCAATATCTGTTTTATCTTCCAATCACATTAGTTTCTAACACATGAACTACTTCCAATAAGAATTAAAATCGTTACCAAAGAAGGCATTCAGTAGCTTCTGAACTTGAATATTGCTACCAACGGTGCGGTATAACCCTTCTGTCTTGATCCCTAAGGAAAGAAAACCAAAGTCAACTTTGTTTACATAGCTAGAGTTTTCAACTCCAGAGGAAGTACTTGTACAAAAGAGTCAGTTAAGTCAGGAAGGGAAATCCTTATGTCTTCAAGCTCCCCAGCCCTCCTTTGTGACAGAGGAACACTCCTAAAACACTTCTCCATAATCAACTATGTTTTTATTTGGACTGCTCCCAAGCCACATCAACCTGAGAAGAGAACATGTTCTAAGGTAGATAGAAGGATGTGATTAGGTGGATGGCAGTACATAGCTGAGAATGATAGTACCATGTTGAAAAGGAATTAGGGTTTAATTTAAAAAAGAAGAAATACCAACCCTTAAATTGCTTCCAAACAACAACAGAGGAGGAGAAGGCCAGAATTTAGCAGATGTAAAAACAAAAAAGGTCATTTCCTGAGCTAAGAAAGGCTTAAACAACATGTCAAAGCAAAAAGAGGCTGAGCCGTATTATACATTAAGCCCACCCATATTCCAAATACCCTTAGAGTATCTTGCACTGGGGAAGTATGCTGATTCCACACATGCCTAAGTTTACCTTTGTACCCATGAGTATTTGAACCAATATACATTGTGAAATAAATTGAACTCTGATTAGGGTAGAACCATCTTGACACTGCTAGAGGAGTATCACATATCATTTCAGACCAATTTATAAGCCACTTAACATTCTGTATCCTTAAAAGTAAGAAAACATATATTATCCAAGCATGTTTAGATACTACCGGTTTGGAATTCACTAAAATTTTACAAATTATGTTCACTGTACGTTTATAAAGAATCACCACTATATGAAATACTGTGTTGCTTACATTGCTCTGTTATGATCTGCTTTGTTATGTCCTCTTTTGTCTTAGTCTCTTTAAAAATAAAAAAAAATTAAAAATAGAATCACCACTATAAATATGAGTTCTGACCAATACATATCATTTCTCTTTTAGGGAAATTGCCCCAAACCAAATCAGAGTGACCAGATTCAAATAGTGACAAGGCTATGGTTCAGATCTTACCTTTGGTCTCTATGATATTGATGCACTTCCTAACAAACATAAACCCCACTTCATTCAGCTCCACTGTTTCAAGCAAAGGAAAGAACAGTTAGATCCTGCAACAAATGTAACATACCACATATTTAATGGCCATATTAAGGGACTACTGTGAGGGAATGAGGGTTTAGCTGCTTACTGTCAATCATCCTTACATGCAAAGATCATTTTATTCACAAGAGGTTCAAGGTTTTAACTTTTATAGCACAAAATATATGTTTGTTTAGCCCTTTGCATTTATGTGCACAAGCTAAAATAATGTGACTTTCAGTTTAATCAATGGACAATTTAAAAACTAGGGTTGAATTTTATTTCTTACAGAGGTATCCATAATAGAGTCATACATCACTAGTACATATCACTAGTGATAGCACTAACCATAACTATGACAATCCATAGATAATAATGTCAGTAAAGCAAAAATTTGAATAACTTACTTTCTTCCTGTTTTGTTATGGGGCTGTGGTATATCTGCAAAAAAAAGAGAGAGACAGAGAGAGAGAAGAGACAGAGAGAGAGAGAGAGAGAGAGAGAGAGAGAGAATGTGCCATGGCTATTGTGAATTACTATAGGTATGGAGGGGAAAAAGTATTAAATCTCTTTCCCAACCTAGCCCACCAAAATCATTAGATACTCTAGGACAGTGATGGCGAACCTTTTAGAGATGGAGTGTCTAAAATGAAACCCAAAACTCACTTATTTAATCACAAAGTGCCAACACTGCAATTAAACCTGAACACTGAGGTTTTAGTCTAGAGAAAAACAACTGATACATTAATATCTTTTGTCTTAAAAGAAAAACAAATAACATATGTACCATAAATTTGCCATCACTACTCTAGGATCATAAAAAGGAAAATTGGTCTAAACAGAATCATCTTTACTTATACCCCTATAAAAGTTTCATGATCCACAAAAACTACACTGGAGTTCATTGCAGTGGAAAATGTGCCCAGTCCATCTTAGACATTTACTTATGTAATATTTGGATCATTTTTAAGATGGAACAAGAGAACATGAATGAATGATAAGTAGCTTTCTCATGGACACTGGAGTAACAGGCACGAAAGTTAAAATTTAAATGTTTACAATAAAAATCTCTCTCCTAAATACTAGTTAAAGGATGCTTCTCTTTGAAAGGCAAGAGTCCACCTGAAAGAGGCCCTTGTATTGACCAAGAATTCTCTATGCTATCTTCAAATAAGCATTGTGATAGCTGTATATGAGACCAGAAAGGAGATTCCTCAAATGCAGTCTTGGCTCTGACCTTCTTTCACTAGGCATGCCTTTATTTTCTACATGTCAAATTTTCTGCTGATAAAATGATCAGTAGGGTAGGAACAGATGTTTCTTAAAGCTCTGATCTTCTTTGACCCTCTAAGCAAAAGGATGCATGTGATATGTAAGACAGTGTGTTAGAGTGCAGGGTAAAGCAACAACAATATCAGAAATTTGAGGCTACATGAAGAAAAGCTATCTGTTAGAATCTGCTTTAACAATCTCTCCTTTTAAAAGAACACTTTACATATATGTGTGTATGCCCTGGGTACTTCAGTGAGAGTTTCTGCACTAACTAGCCTTTGCTGCCACTTTTATAAACTTCAAATCTTTTGAAGTCTGTCATGATCAGGCTGGTGAAGTTCCATATTCATTGAGCCCATATTCTACCATCACTCTCTACAAATAGTTACCTGTATCCTTGGATGTATTAAAACCTATGGAGAGAGCACTTTCAGGACAGGGAAGCAAGAGCTAAATGCCTTGCTATGCCTCTTTGCATCCTCCTAGAGAAACATCACCAGCATACAAGAGCTAAGTATTAGGTTTCTCTGAAGTTTAATGTCAAAGCCAGGCTTAATAATGTCAGAACCAGGACACAAAGCCAAACTTTTGTGATTCTAATGCAAAGCAGCTAATATTATTTCATATGCCACTATAAGAAATATAATAGAAACATACTGAAGAGAGACTACTTTAATAAATTCTGACTGTTCATGTCAATCTCTCTAGAATAGTCACTAAGCCCTTTAAGGGATCACTTATCCACCTGCCTAAAGTTTTCTATGTGGAGTATCCTAGGACACAGGATGACAACTCCATTTCCTCCAGTAGCTCAACCCGGAAAGAGAATAAACTGAGTAGGGGTAGAAGAACAAAAAAGGATTATTTTGAATAAAATCTTTAAAAATGCATATTTACAGCCATGGTAATTATTTTCCATCCTTCTATAGGATTAATTTTATAATCTGAGAAAATGCTACACTAAAAGTAAAACTCTGGAGTAAGAAAGGTGATCATAGGAAAAATCCCTTGCCCTCTCTTAAACTCAAATTGCCTTACCTACTAAACACTCACTGTATTTCTTATTTAGAAAAAAAATTGCAGGTTGCAGCCCACATTCATTTAATTTTCAGCAATACAAAATTACTGTATTTTATAAATGGAAATACCACTGCTAAAAATAGAATGCTATATACAAAATGAAATCTTTTGTTTCTGATGACTGTTGCTATATTAGAGCAATACAAAAATAATAAAAATGAAATATCTTGTGGCAAGCTGTGGAGGTAAGGTTAAGAATATAATCCATGAGTTATCTTAGGGTAAATACTGCAGCCACAAGTACTACCAGCAAGTATTCTCAGAGCAATCAGGAAATTAGTTTCAAAATATTCACAACAGGGTTGTAATTCTTATGTCTCACTTGCCAAGCAGCTTGAATCACCAGTGGTACATGGATAACTCTCCCATCAGGCAGATTTTTACTAATTTTATTAGAAAAAACAATAAAAGTGATTAGATTCATTTGTGCTGCTGGTGGTATACCCCCTCCCCTCCAATGGGTGGTTCAAGCTGGCAGGAATGTGTTTAAAAAGTGATATGGGAACCATAATTCCTTCCAGCTCTAACATTTTGAATTGTAAGAATCTGACCATTTAATTGTTAGGTCCAATAATACCAGTAGAGGGCAATCATACACTGACCTATGCTACTGAGATTTCCTCTGTGTCTGTGGTAACTTACAGGTTCTTTCCCATCCATGGCTTCCATCCATAGCCTTCTATTAGCTTCTGAAAGAGCCTGCAGAGTGATAGTTCCTGGCCTAAAGAGAAAAATGACAAATTAAAAACAGAAAATTCATTAACGAGAATGGAGTCTTATGGTCTAGAGTCCTTATTTCCCTGGAAGGTGACCCACTGAACAGTCACTGCCCTATGAAATTCTAAGTTTTGAAGACTTTCTTTGAACCAGACAGTAATGGGAAATTTGTAAATAAGAACTTTGCAGGCCCTAGGGGAGATAGTATTTTGGCGTTCAGAAGTCAAGTTCAGGCTAGGAAAGAGGAAGGTGGATCTCAAAGCACCACATCATAATACACACATAAATTTGACTCCATTGTGCTTAAGCCAAACTCAGGATCTCCCTATCTCCTCTCTTTTGAAGCCAGCCACTTGGTCCAAGCTCTAGAGGTAAGTATGTACATCACAAACACATTCACCTGTCAAAAAAATTGCTCAGTTCCTACCATCCCACCACAGGATGTCCAGTAAACATTTCCAGTTGGAAATAATTCAGCAACTTGCAGACTGGCTAAGCCACAGTGAGGAGGTCTTTTGGCTGACAAGCAATCTAAACAATTAATAACAACAGCTAATGCTTATCAAATGCTCACTAGCTGCCAGGTTCTGTTCTCAGTGTTTTTACATATATCAGTTCATTTAATCTATCCAACAAGTCTATGAACCAGTTTACTACTGTAAGTTGTCTCCATTTCAAAGAAAGGGAAACTGAAGCACGGAGAACTCACCCAAGGTAATACAGCAGGTAAGTGGCAGACAAAAGATTTAAATCTGGAAAGTGAACTCCAGCAGTCATAATCTTAGCCACTACATAAAAATGCATCTACTGAATGACAGATAGCTTCAAACCAAATTGTGTTCTATTTGCTCATAGGTTATCTGCCATGGCCTAACTCCTAAATTTAATTCATGAATTGAAAGAATCACCATGTGACAACATAAAGAGCTAGGATATTTAAGAAGTTATGAGAGTGGAGCCTCCGAGGAAGACATAAAAGACCTTATAAAAAGGATTGAAAGTGTGCATTTGTTCTCTTGCAATCCTTCTGCCAAGTGAAAAATGTTTAGGGCATAGCACCAAGGAACAATGTTAGAAGTAGAGACTGTGCCCTCCCCAGATACTGAGCTCACCAGCACTTGATCTTGGATTTTTCACATTTAGAAGTATGAAAACAAATTCTGTTGCTTCTATATGTATTGCCTAGTCTCGGAAATTTTGTTATAGCAGCACAAATGAACTAAGACTCTATTTATACCCTAACAAAACCAAATTAGGTATATCCCTTATGGTCACTTAGACCTTGACAACCAAACTGGAAATTAGGGTTTGACCATACTACTTCTTATTTCCAGATAAGAAAATGACCTCTGTCTGTTAGTCTATTCTTTGTAATCTCAGTCACTTAAGGCTTTGCTCATGTAACATTACAGTTCACCCACTGAGCTCTTTTCTAGCAATCTGGTCATGTTAATAAATTGTATTCTATACTCAATGTCTAATATAGAGAAATAACAGATTAAAATAAAATCAAGACACACATGCACTCACTAAATTTTGGATCAACTTCCCAACCACAAAGAATCCCTTTCTCTAAAATAATGCTAACGATTCCCATTTTTAAAAGAAAGATAAAATTGACTAAAAATTAAGAATTGGCTCCAGACACTGTAGTCCATATATAAACAATGTAACAAAGTTCAAAATTTACAAGTTGTACCTTTAGTATCTGTGTGGAGAAACTTCCACTTCACATATGTATCTGGCAAGTAGGGAATCTGTCTCATTTTTCACCATAAAGGAAAAACAAATCTAGAGAAAGCACCTCCACCCTCCACCCCATCTGCCTTCCATCAATAACACAGGCCAATAAACTTGCTGTTTCATATTATAATAAAGATATTTTAAAAGAACTAATTTTGTTAGTCTGTCCTTTTTATGGAATCACATTTTGTATATGTGATATCAAAAATACCTAGCACAGTTGAGGCAAACTTGGAGGGGCAGGGGAAATCAGTTCTGTGTCAGGCCTGGCAAGGACGCTGTGAAGAGCTGGCAGAAGAGACAAGACAATGCTGTCTTGCATAGATTTGCTCATTTTCAACAACAGGGGATGATAAAAGACCTACCTAGGAAAATAAAAGACCTATCCAGGCTCAGCATCTGGCATGTGTGGACATAGGCAATTCATAGCAGTGCAGCTTACCTTTCATTAGTTTCTATATCAAAACAGAACCTCTTGTCAATAGACTCTGTCTTCCTTCTCACACAGTACTTCAGGGTTAAGTCCAAGGGTACCTGATATGAGAGAAGGATTAAGATGCAATTTGAAAAAATGCAGAGAAGCTTCTTCTGCCTCCCAGTGGCCTCAGTGACACTTGGAAGGCATAAACCAAGGCAGCAAGAGCAACATGTAGACTCACTGAGAACCCTGTGCAACCAAAGAGTACTTGAGACAAGATGGCAGATGATTTCTCTATTCTCCAAGAATCAAGGGCTGGCACAGTGAGAAATACTCAGAGTAGGCTAGCATTTCTCCCTTAGCATGACAGATTAATCAGAAAACTCTATTCATATCACACAAGGGCAGAGTAGGAGAAATGGATTACCTGAACAGCATTAAGTATACAGAACACAAATTTCATGAGGTCTTGTAGGGAGGATGCAAAAGGCTTTCTGATAATATCCGTAAAAAGTCAGAGGCAAGTTGAAGAATAAAGCAGCCATTAAAGTGGCAGATGGAATGGGGAAGACACATTTCTGTTCCCCACTCCAAACTCTTGAGGATTATAACAAAACAAACCTCCTCAACGACATGGACAATGTCCTGAATCTTTGGCACATACCAAATAGGTAGTACTCGATAAATGTTTATGAACTAAATCATCATCCTTGTCACTTTTCTGATGAGGAAACTGAGACTGAGCAATATGAAATAATTTAACCAAGGTAAAAAAGTAGACCCTACAGCTAGGATGTGAAACTCACCTTTATTATATGTGATAGTATAAACAAAATTTTTTATAGATAAGAAGATAATATAGAAACCATTATTCATTTTGTTAGTTGGTTCTAAATACCCTGTAATACTTTCATTCTCTTGAATGGTTTTACACTGTCATGTTGAGTTTGATGCTATAATACACAAAGTTATACTCAAATATCTCAAGGAAAGAGACACTATGGTAACTACTATTATGTCAGATTATCTTGCGGTGAAATACTATGTTGCTTAAATTATTCTGTTCTGACCTCTGTTTTTATGTTGTTATGTCCTCTTTTTTCTTAAACTCCTTTTAAAAAAATTTTTTAATAAAAAAAAGAATCAAAAATGCAGTGTTCTTTTTTCTTACTACAATTTCTAACATGGGATGAGGAAATACAAAAATACTTTTTGAGAAGTCATAAGTAAAATGAGCAGTATAACACAAATGAGAAATGATAGGCTGAGATAATAGGACACTGAAAAGGGAGAGTCAGAACAATGGTCAGTTCTTCCATTTTTAAATTAGGTGCATGATAATGCAATGTGCTGCTAAAGGAATAAACAAGGAGGCATAGGACAGAATATATCTGGCTCAGTGCTTGACACCCAGCTGGCATTCAAGAAACAGAGATTTTTATAATACAACAAAAGCGTTGTTGCTGGGTGTGGTGGCACATGCCTCTAATCCCAGCACTCAGGAGGCTAAGGCAGCAGGATCCTTCTCAGTTTGAGACCAGCCTAGCCTACAAAGTGAGCTCAAGGCCAGTGTGAACTGCGTAATAAGACTCTGCTCAAAAAGACAAGAAAGAAAGAAAGAAAGAAAGAAAGAAAGAAAGAAAGAAAGAAAGAAGCAATCATTGTTACATTATTTACATTTCAGTAAAGAATAAAAGTAGTACTACAACTGAGTCAGAGAACTGACAAGAAATCATTTCCAACTCCAATTTCAGGGAAATTCAAATAAGTGCTTCTCTCTTTCTGCCCTCTGATCCTGCTACTAAATGGGGAAACAAGTTCCTCTTTCCCTTCCATAAAGAACCCCACATGAAAACTGCTTACACTGACACTACTGCAATTTTGCAAGCAGTAACTCACTGCAAATGAAAAAAGAAAAGACAACTGAAATGAAATTTTTACTCTCATTTGCCAGGAGGAAGTAAAAGTAGTGCCTGCATACTTTATTTTGGGCTCAGCAATATGTACTTCTGAGGAAAAAAAGGGCCTCAATGACATTACTGACTATAAGACCATTATAATACCCAAGAGTTAGAATGTAGCATGTGTAGAAAAATGAAAGGAAAAGACAGTAGGATAGTGGTGCTCAGAAACACTTGCCAGTGAAATAAATCAGCTAAATTCAAACTGACTTGAGACACATTTTGAGCTGCAGCACAAGGTGAATTCACTGGAAGTCTGCTGAGAGGCTCTGTGGCAACTGGAAGGCTGGAAAGTAAAGACTGCTTTGAACTAGTGTATGAGTAAATTCCCAAGACAAAGGCATAGGTGAAGAGTCCAGAAAACCCTGTTTTGGTACATTTTACTAGAAGTTCATCTCATATCCATCCACATTCAACACATTGACCAACCTTGCAGTTAAAAACCAAAGAAGTAATCTTCAATAGCATGCAACAAGATCTTAGTCACCTGTAAATTTATATGAATGAGTCACCTCATTCATATGAATGAGATCTTCCATGGAAAGCACCAGCAATGAAGGGAAATCTGTCCAAATTTTTTCTCCATATTCCAACCTACCTAAATTGGGTCTTCATGTGTTACTTTCAGTACTAACAAGTGAATCTAAAAGTGCTGCTAACAGCTTATAAAAACTTAAAACCATGCACCAAGAGCTTGTATGAGAGCAAGTTAAAGGGGAAAAAATGCACTGAACAAGTATAATATTAACAATCTACCTGATGATCAACTTTTAATCTTAGATATATGGGGGGTGTTACATAAAAGATCAAGTTTTTCTGAGGGAGTAAACTACTTTTTCAGTTTGTTAAACTTTTCTTTCCATTATGGGGAATGGATTGAAGTTTGAAGAGGAATAGAAGAGATATTATTTGCTAAAAAGTATTTCAGTGCTGCACAGCTTCTGAGTATCAGTTATGCTAATTTTAGGAAATAGACATACACTTTTAAAAAGGTAATTCTGAAAACTGATTCATGTTGTTTGTAAACTTTTTATTTAAAACAATTCCACAGTAGAGTCTTCCTAAAATCAATGCATCCATATTTTCCCTTTTTTTCTTTTAAAGCGTGACAAACTATAACACTAAATGATCTGAAAGAGTACAGGCATTTTCAAAATGTCTCATGGAATTCACTGAGCAATTATGTCCCCAACTGAGTGGTTTCTGACCCAGTGCAGACTAAGGCCAAGAAGAACATACATTGTCACGGCTTCACATAATAGAGTTGGGGTTAATTATTTAACAGGATTTCAACAGAAGTTCTTCTCTGAGCTGTAGTCAAAAATGCATCTCAAAAAATCTTGATATAAACATGCACTGACCTGCTTAGCACCTGGCTTCTGTTCCATAGGTGTCATGGTGAGTGTTTTAGTTTCCTTCTCATACTGGCAATAGTACTTCACCCAGGATATTCCCAAAGCCCCTACAAACAAAGGAAGACAATAAAAGTTTCAGCACACTAAGGCAGAGGCTGCTTACAGCCTGTTCTTTATGGTTAAGCTCTAGATCCAGCCCTACCTTTCCCCTAAATTCATCTTATCTAACCACTTGTCCACAGAGCATACGCAGGTATTAACCATTACCAGCTGCTTTCCAAATCTACTCTTTACTTGCCCCAAACCCATTCTCCTTGCCATGTTTCCAATGAATGGAAGCACCATATATCCTAACAGCTGAAAATTCCATTACCTGCCCCTTTTTCACTATAACTAATCTATTTAGTTATAGAGGTCCACTGGGTTGGACCTCTTTTATTACCTACCTACAAATCTTTCCAACTGGTTTCTCCTCTATCACTTTCAGCAGGGAATTAAAAACATTATTGCTGTCTTTCAAAAAATGTTTTATGAGCTATTTCAAACAAAAATTCATTATTTCTCCACTTAATTGTTTTAGTGGATGTTTTCTCTATATCTGATCACTCTTTTGCAGTCTATTAATCACTTTTGTTAGAGTAATACTAGTTTAAAGATAAACACTACTTCAATGCTAATGGCAAACTAATGATCAGCAGCAATATACAGCCTCTCCAGGACCCAGAATCAAGATACCTGGAAAATACTAAATTGAACAATGAGAAAAAGAAAAGAAATTGATACCTAAGAATTGGGAAGGAGACAAAGGAAAATTAGAAACTACAGAGAAGTTGGAGAAATGAAACACAATGCAGAGAAAACAACACAGAAATATGGAAAGCTCACACTGTTTCCAGGGAGGGGAAATGGTCTCTTCCAATACAAGGTAAGTCCCCAAGTTCAGGAGCTCCAGGGAGAAAAACTGGAACTGGCTGGCCATTATTCACCCTAAGAAAATCCTAAGATTATTGTAAACTATAAAAAAGTCTAGTTTTACTTTGAAAGTGACTCTTTCAACACAGTAGGCTAGAATTGAAGAAATCAAGTTAAGAATCCACCATATAATGAGGAGCCATTTTGGGAAGAGCTTAATCATTTAAGACTGAGCCACAGAATAATTACTAAACAGCTTCACTTCAGAGCTTATAATGTAATCCTATCACATAGACTTAGTGGGAAATGGTCACAACAGACAGACACAGAGAGTAAGTAGGCTAGATATATATCTCCTGAGATGTTTAAGCTCAGGCCAGGAGGGCATGGTGGTAGTGGGGGTGGGGGACATTGCCACAGTTGAGAAGCCAGGTGTGGTATGTGTGGTTTTCAGAGATTGCTGGGTATAAAACAAATTAAACTTGAAGCCCTGACCCTATTGCCAATATCCAGAAAAGAGATCAGTGGTCTAATTACTTTCTCCATCTACCAAGATAAGCAGGACATCCTTCAGGTTGAACAGTTATTGCAGCCTGGTGTGAACAAACACAGGAGCCTTTCTGGCACTGGGCGAGAGCACATCACACATCCACAAGCCATAAAGCCAACTGAGAAAACGGTGACTGGGGGTGCACAGAATGGCACAGAAAGTAGGAGTTGCTGGAGTGACTATAGCTTCACAGCTGTTAATGCTGATTAAGAATGACCAGTAGAAAAGGTAAGGCAAGATTCAGCATTCACATACAAAAACATGAATGTGAAAACAAAATAAGTCTTAGGAGATACTCATTATCCTTCCCCCTTGTCTGATGGATTGAGAGACTGCTGATGCTAGAAAGAAACCACTCATTCAAAAACACAAATAGTTTTTTCTTTCTTTCTTTCTTTCTTTCTTTCTTTCTTTCTTTCTTTCCTTCCTTCCTTCCTTCCTTCTTTTCTTCCCTCCCTTCTCCTTCTTCTTGTTTTTTTTTCTTCTCCTTCTCCTCTTCCTCCTCCTCCTTCTTCATCTCTGTCTTTATCTTTTTCTTTGTCTTCTTCTCTTTTCATGGTTTCAGGTTGCTTTTTTTTAGTCATCTTTTCTTTTTTTCTTTTTTCTTATTTTTCTCTTTTTTCTTTAATCTTATTTTTCTTATTTGTTCCTTCCTGTTACTATACATTTATCTAATTCTATTAATTTCACTTTCCTCCTAACTAGAGCCTTCATCTCATTATTTTCTCATTCCCCACAGGATAAATGAAAAATAGATCCAACAATCACTAGATGACACAAAGAAGACTAATCTAAGATTAGTTAGAACTAGTGAAAAATCAGAAGACAACACAAATGGAATAAAACACATGTGTACAAAATACCAGAAAAATTTCCAAATATGGTAAAAGAATTTGACATACAAATAAGGCATATAAAATACCAAATAGCCATGATCAGAAAAGAAATTCTCCACAACAAATTGTAATCAGAATTCCAGAAATCCAAAATAAGGACAGACTCTTACAAGCTTAGAGAAAAGCAATAAATCACTTATGAAGGTAAACCCTTCCAAAGTACAGCAGACTGCTAAACAAAGTATAAAGCACATCAGAGATTTGAGTGAAATATTTCAAGCCCAAAAGAAAACTTTAAAATTAAATTGATGTATCTTGCAAAACTCAAAATTGATGAAGAAATCAAGGCTTATCATGACAAACAGCACCTTAAAAATTCATGAACACCAAAAAAGACGCAGAAGGAGACAGTTAAGATGACAGAAAGGGGAAAAGACACCAGCAACATAAAATGCTGCAGTGACAGGAATAAGTCAATACCTCTCCAAAACTCCTTATGAATGTTCTCAATTCTCTTATAAATGATCTATTAAAAGATACTGATTGGTAAAATGAAAAAAGAAATAAAACCCAGCAAAATGTTGAATAAGTGAAACACATAAGTCCAAAGCAAATTCATAGATTGAAAAACAAAGGATGGAAAACAATATTCCATGTAAGAAAAACTTAAAACATTCAGGAGTAGCTATCCTATTTTCAGACAAAGTGAACTTCAAACCAAAACTGATAAGAAGAAGCCAAGATGGTCACTATATAATGGTTAAGGAAACAATTCAATAGAAAAAAGATAATGATTATAAGCGTATTCAACCCAAAGTCAGGAATAACCAACTTCATAAGTCAAACAATATAAAAGATCAGATGAACATCATCAAAATTATAGTGGGGTACCTCAATACTCTACTGTAACAGACTGCTGAACTAGACCAAAAAAATCAATAATAATATAAAGAGTTGAACCAAACATTTGAACAAATAAATTTAAACAGATACATAGAGTGTTCTACCCAACATTATACATATCCTTCTCAACAGCACATGGAACTACCTTCAAAACAGACTGTACATTAGCCAAGAAAGAATGTTTACATAAATTCAAATGAATCAAAATAATACACTGCATACTATAGACTATAATGAAATGAACATAGAAATCAGGGGTAAAAGAAACCACAGAGTTTGTAAACAAATAACTTTCAAAATGCAGGAGTTTTGTTTTGTTTTGTTTTGTTATTGTACCAGGGATCAAACTCATGACCTGTACTTGCCAGTCAGGCACTTGTGACACTGAACTAAAACCCAAAACCTTAAAATGCAATCTTAATTAACCTGTGTGTCACAGTGGAAATCAAGGAATAAAGACAGTTCCTAGAATCAAATAATATTGCCACTACAACACACCAGATTTTAAGAATTTAATGAAAGCAGTACTAAGAGGTACATTTATTGTTGTGAATGTTCACATCAGAAAAGAAAAGGGAACACAATAACCTAATGATGCACCTCCAGCCCCTAAAAACTAAGAAAAGTCCAATTTATAAGTTAATACAATGAAGGAATTTATAAAGATCTGAGTAGAAATTAATGAAACTGAGACTAAAATAACAAAAAAAATCAATGAATCAAAGAGCCGGTTCTTCAAAAGAATGAACAAAATACTTTTGGTAAGATCTTAATTAGTCTTCGCTCCCCCCAAAAAAAAACAAAAGAAAAAGAAGGATCCAAATCAAGGCAATTAAAATACAAAAGGTTAAATCACAAAGAAAACTACTTAAATTCAGAAGATTATTAGTAACTATTTTGAAACCTATACACCAATGAATTGGATAATCCAGAAGAAATGGACAGAATCCTAACTTCCTAGATACATATAAATAATAAAAGTGAACCATGAATTCATAAAAACCCTGATTAATCCAATAACAGACAATGAAATTGAGGCAGTAATAAAAACTGCATCCACTAAGAAAGCCTAGATTTAATGGGTTTACCACTGAATTCTAGAATAACTTCAAGGAAGAAATAATGCCAATATTCCTCAAAGTATGTAATGAAAGGTAAGGAGCCAGGGATTTAGCTCAACAGCATAAGCACCTGCCTGACGAGTGCTAGGTTGTGAGTTCAATCCCAGGCACAAAAAAAAAAAAAAAAAAAAAAAAAAAAAAAATCCTAAATAAAATAGGTACAGAAGGTTCTTATGTCAATTGATTTTTTGTTGTAAAGAGAATAAAACAAAATAAAGTAGATCAGAACAAACCAATGCAAGTAACACAGGATTTCAAAACAAGACAACAGGAAATCAACAGTAGCTACCGCAGTGTCTCTTGAATTCTTCAAAATAGCCATCCATACCTTCACTCACAATAAATTACTACAAAATAAAATAGTATTAAAACAAAAGAATGAGAGTCTTATGGGCCTTCAAAACCAACCAATAAGCAATCAATAATGGCACCAAATATCTCTTGTTCTCTTCAAAATAGCTGTCCATACTTTCATACATATTGAAATCAAATAATAGAAAACAGACTAAAACCAATCAAAACAAAGAATAAAAGCATTATTGGACTTCAAAACAAGATGATAGCAAATCAATCATGGCTAACATGATGTCTCATTTTCTTCAATATAGTTGTTCATATTATCACACATAATAAAATCAATTCTTGTAAACTCTTTAGGAGAAGCCCTAGGCACATATAAGCCTATACATGTACATCTATCCTTTCTGTATTAGAGGAAGAAAAATGAAATATAAGAAAAACAAGAAACAAAAGAGACAAATAATGATAACAAAAATCCCAAAACAATAACAATGTAGGCTTATCTCAATTTAATCAAAGCCATTCATGACCAGCCAACAGCCAACATCATATCAAATGGGGAAATCCTGAAAGCTTTTCCTCTAAAATCAGGAACAAGACAAGGACATCCACTATCAACACTCTTATTCAATATAGTACTCAAAATATTAGGCAGAGCAGTCAAAGAAAAGAAAAGAAATAAAAAAGCTTGTAGGGGAAACAAGTCAAATTATTATTATTTCCAGACAGTCTGACCTCTCTATAGACAATCCAAAAAGAATTCATAAGAAGACCCCTATAATTAATAACCAAATTCAGTAATATAGAGGAATATCACATTGATATGCAAAAATCAAGTGTTCTTATACACCAATAATGAAATGACTAGTAAAGAAATTAGGAAAACAATGCCGGTTTTAATTTCTTTTCTTCTTGCTGATACAAATTACCTGACACTTAAATTCTTTTTTTTTTTTTTTTGTTGTTGTTGTTGTTGTTCCTACCAGGAATCAAACTCAAAACCTTATGCTTACCAGTCAGGTGCTGTGCCACTGAGCTAAATTCCCAGTCCTGGTCATATATATTGCTAACATATACTGATAGACATTAAAATTTAACAGAAAAAAAAGATATCTCTATATCACTCATCTTAGTATAAACTACCTATAGCCTTCCCATTGCCCCAAACTCCTTAGCCTGCCTTCAGGGCCCTTTACAATGTGATCAGAGCTTGTTTTTCTGGCTTTGTCTTTTGGTATGCTTATCTCTATGCTCTGGTCTTTCTGAATTACTTTCAGTTCCCAAATAAATAAGTGGCAATTCAACTTATAGCTCCATACTAGTACACACTTAAGATAAATAGAGTAGTATGAATAATGACATCAAGATAATAGATCTCATCTTAATCTCTTCTTGGCAAACCAGGACCCTACAAATAAACTATGTTTTCCACAACTGTAGGCCTTAAATTTATATAGTGGTCTACCTGATATTCTCCTACTTCTTTACTTTATCTATCAAATGTTCATTCAGTGCTAAAGTTCTAGTTCAAATATTGCTTCTTCCTTTAAATATATATCCCAGTCAGAGTGCCTTGAATATTTTACAGACATGCTTGCCTATCTTCTACATCTGATCATGAATTTTTATTTTTTTATTTTTGGATTGGAGAATGAGTTCACGACCTTGCACTTGCCAAGCAGGCACTTGTGCCACTGAGCTAAACCCCTGGCCCTGACAAGGAACTTCTTAAGAACAAAAACCTCAATTAATTCATCTTTTTTGTACCTCTCATGTACTCCATAGTGTCTGGTAGAAATGATGTTCAAAATATTGTGTGCCCACATTCAGCTGAGTGGCAAAGTCATATGTATTTGATACATTGAAAAACTGCAGCACAGCACATCATACAGCATAAAGCAGTGGTGCTGAATTACAGGAAATTTTCTTTCTGTTAGACATTTGACAATACATGGAGACATTGTATGTTGTTATGCCTAGGAGTGCTATTAAAATAAAGTGAAGACAGGCCTTTATACTGCTAAACACACTATCCCATCAAAAAAAAATTATCCAGGCTAAAATTTCAGTAATGGTAAGACTGAAAAAGTGCAAAGAAAAGTTAAAGATAAAAACCTCAAAAGTAAGAGAATACATCTTTCAAATGTATCAAAATTCAATTACTCTAAGGGGGAAAATCATGATAACATCACTGCTAAAGTGTTATCCTGTTGGCATTTCACACATCTAAATTTAATCATAGTTTGCCATTTGTTAATTGGATGACTTTCACATGGTGGTTACTCCGAGATTTCATGATGTCATGTGTAAAATGGGTGTGTGGTGGAATCAAAGATTACTTCATGAGATCAGCGTGTTCAGGGTAGAATGGCCATAGACTCAAAGATTAATCAAGACAAGGGTCTTAAGCACTCAACTCCATGCCAGGAACACAACAGGTGTGATAAACATTTTTCTGACTCCATTTTGTCCCAAATAGTCATCACAAGGATTAAGCAAAATTAAAATCCTCATTTTAAATCTCATAGAAAACCATAGGTCTTATCATTTTATCATTTAAAAGACTCTTAATTTCACCTCAGTTTTCCTTCTTTGTATTTATTATTGTTACCCTGACTTCCATGTAGCTGGAGCTTTAAGACTCTATGAATGATATGGGTACTCAGCCTACTGTAACCCAATGTACACCCTGAGTTCCCACACACATTTCTCTTGGGTATAAAGATAGCCTTCAATGGTTGGCTGTCCTGGAAGCTTGCACGTCTGGGGAGCTTCTTTCATCCTTTTCTTAAGTTCTTCCATCTCTTCCCGGGTACTGGAGAAATGATTTCTTGTCTGTTAAAACATCAGTATCATAATGAATATCATTATTAAATCACCATGAAGAAGTATTTATTTAAATCAGGTACAAAATTTTCTCTTTTTCTATTATGTAATACAACATAAAAATAGATTAATAGATAAATAAATGTGTGTGTGCTGAATAGTGTAGTGACAGAAAATAATTTTATAGAGTTTAATCGTACTAATTAGAAGGAAAACAAAAGCATAATTAGCAATATACTCATAAAACCACAAACAGAAGACTTTTTTCCAATAAGAATCATGTAAGGCTCCAATAAATAAAGAAGTTTACAATTCTGAGTACCAGATTGAATCTTGTACAACAGTGAGATTGCAGAGTAGGTTCCTAAAGATAGTATTATCATGGCTGTGTCTAAGTTCTTCAAATTCAATTACTCCTTATCTCATCTTGAATAAAGTTCTGGCCATGAGGATAAGATATGTAAGTGCCACTTTTTGTAAATATGCTAACAGAGCTTAGTGTCGAGACCATAACATATCAGATTTTTTAAACGGTAAACACTGTTTTCTATTATCCTGAAAATCAGACAGTTGTATGTAAATATGTAAAAAGTTGCTGCCATGCATTTTTTTCAAGTAATCTATAGAAAAGGACTCAAGTGATTATTTTGGTTGTAAGTACAATTCTGTAAATTGGCAGAAGATTGGGTCTTGATTTTGGTGAATAACACTACTTAGCAAAAGAAGGCAAATACATATAAAGAAAAAAAAACAACAAAAACTTCAAATCATAATTCTCCTTAACAAGGAGAGATTGATTTCGGCTATGATTTTTTAGCATTTTCAACTAGAAATACATCTATAAATTATAGACAATGGAATATCTAGTATGATGTCACCTAACGTCAGTGATGCCTTCTCTCTGACTCAGGCAAGAGTTGAAATCTCTGTGCATTATTAAAAGTTTTTATCTTGATTCTACTGTAGCAACTATCAAAAGGATCATGATTTATGTGTCTCCTCCAATAAATCATATGCTCCTTTAAAACATAAACCTTGCATGTCTCATTACAATATGACTGGTTATTTCACAATGCTTAGCATAGAACATATGCTCCCTGTATCCATAAACATTCATTAAGTGTGGGTCACATAAATGAATGAACAAAAGAATGTAGTGAAACCATAGTTGTTCCAATATACAGAAAGGCTCTACCCATTGCCTTTCTGTAAGAACCAGAAGGGGAAGAGGACAGAGAAAGCCTTTAAAAATAAGTTATTTAGCACTAGTAATAAGTGCTAAAAATAACAAAGAGAAAACAAAATTGTCATTCATGGTAATAAAACCCATTGTGAGAATATTTTGATGACCATGAAAGTAACTTAAGACCTAAACAAGCCTAGGATTGCATTCTGATATGAGAGATGTAGCACATTAGCAACACTTAATAAATACTGGCTAAATTGAAATACTGGTCACACTAAAGGAGAAAAGTGTTAAAAGTTGAAGAGCATAAACTGGAATAACCCAAAATTCCAAGGTTAAGACCACAGTGCCTAAAATTCAATTTGACACACAGGTGACTAAATCCACATGCGGGGCCGAGATGTAACTCAGTAGCTGCCTGGCAAGCATGAAGCCCTTAGTTTGATACACACTACCAAAGCTAAACAAAACAAAAAAAAAATCCACATGTGACTCACATTCTGCAAACTGAGCTGGAGCTGCTGTTTGTAGGGGAGGAAATCTTGTGTGAGTTCCACAGTCAAATTGTTGGAAATGAAGAGGCTATGAAGAAAGGCCAAGACCTAAAGAAAGCATGCAAAAGTAATTTTATCACCAAGATCTTCTAAGTATTCAAAAAAGGAAAAAGGAACTTGGAGGAGACTCTCTATGGTGCTTATCCAGAATAATGTTAAAAGCAGACAAGTAAATACAGGTCTACAAACAACTATGCTCATATTAGTTTAAACTTTAACATTGGACTCAATTTGAGAAATAAGTAACAAATTTTCATCTAGAGCTTCAGATTGCATACATAGCCATTAATAATTTGGTGTGGGAATGGATTATCTTCACTCTGTACAGGATGAGCACCTGTAATTCAAAAATCTGAAATCCAAAGTGCTGCAAAATATGAAACTTTTTTGAGCACTGACATGATGCCACAAATGGAAATTTCCATGCCTGACCTCATATGATAGGTCTCATTTAAACACAGACACAGTAAAAATATTATATAAGTTACCTAGGGCCTAGAATACATAGGCAACAAAAATAAAACTTTTATTTAGACTTTTGCCTTATCCTCAAGATATTTTATTACATATGTGCAAATATTCTAAAATAAAAAATTCAAAACACTTTCATGCAAGCAATTCAGATAAGGTATAATGAACTCCTACATCCTCAGTTCTGTTACATAGTAGGTGTTCAAAAAATATTTGTGGAAAAAAATAATAATAACATAGAAGACAAAAGGAGTCGCAGCCAATTTTCAAGTTACAAATGTTTTAGGGGATTTTGGAATAAGACATACAAATGATCAGTAATGAATTTTTAAATGTTCAACCCCATTAACAACAAACCATACATAAATAAAACCCAAAAAATGACTTGGATATTGTTGTACCCCCCAAAAAAGAGGCCCCAAGATGTTATTCAACAAGAAATAGAAAAAAAAAAATGGGACAGCAAGATGTCTTTTAAAAAGAAGCGCTTTTATTTAAGCTGGCACCAACAGCACAGTGCAGGTGGAGGTTGCAAAGCTGTACAACTGGGTTAGAATTTTGACAGATTTTTATAGCAATTAAACTGCAAAGTAAGTAGTGATGTGAAGTGAGTAAGAATGTGGAAGGCCTTTGTTCCCCTTTGCTTGGGGTCAGAGATGTTTCACAGTTGGTGGTTAGCCCTTTCTTTTCTTAATTCACACCCCTTGGTTTGCTAATTCCAGGAACATCTGTTTCTCACAAAGGGAACAAAGGTTGACACAGCATCATTTGTTTCTCACAAGGGAACAAAGGTTGATGCAGCAAATAGGTTACTAGGGTGATGACACATACAGAACAGTTTGATGACACATCAGATAATCTATAACTGTGTGGTTGGTGCTCCAGTCAATCTTTTTAATTTTTCATTTGTTTTTTAAGCATTTTAGTACCACATTCCCTAATGATTTTTGTCAGTGATCCAAATCATGGCTCATGGAGTTTTCAAACAGAGGTATCTGTTCATAAACTTGTGTCCTTAAAATCATGAGTTTTGTAGTTTGAACCTGATCTTTGAAATAATTTACGAATTTATTTATAATGCAGGGTCCAACTGTTAAACAAGTAAGTAAAACTAACAGAGGTCCAGAGGTTGCTGTGATTAATGTTATCAATCAGGGAGATAGAGAAAACCATTGTTCTGTTCAGCTTGTCTGGCTTGTTCTCATTCCTGTAGCTCCCTTTTAATTTTGGCCATACTTCATCAGATAACCTCAGAATGATTGTCACACAAGCAACAATTTTCTCCTAATGCCAGACAGAAGTCTCCTTCCTTTAGGAACAGGAGATCTAGACCCCACCGCTTTTGTAAAACCATCTCAGCCAGTGGAACTTAAAGAATCATCTAATTTGTAAACAGAGTCACTAAGGGCTGCTAAATCTTGCTCAATGAGTGCACTTACGTGCACTCTAATTTTGGTCTCCAACTATTAGGCTGGAAATTCCTAAATCTTATTGACCCTGCCATCCCAATTCCCAGTAATACAGGTAAGAGTAGGGAATTTCTCTTCATTCGGACCAGACTCTTTAAGTCACAGCTAGGAAACAAATGACTCCTACCATTATCTCCAGAGTACTAGTACACTTGGAGAAAGATATGAACTAATATGCAAAGCTCAGGGTGCTGGGTGAACAGGTGATGCATGGAACAAGGAATTATACCAGAAGTACAGGCAAATGAGGTTCCATTGGGAACAACAAGATGCTGATTAGCAGGTAGGAAAAATTATGAATTAAAACTGAAGAGGTAAGATTACAGAGTGCAACATAAGGGGAGGTGCACAAGGAGTAGGAGGCAGAGTAAACACAGGTTCCTGGAGCACTCTGTACATTATCCAATGTGAACAGGGGCCTAGCACCACCAACAAGTGGTGTCATCTGCAGAGGAATTTAAAAGTTGATTTGCCATAGCAGTCACTGGGGTGCCTGTGGAAGGCATAGCCAGCAGTCAGCAGTGAGGTTTGGGGCACTAAGATTGAGAAACTGGTAAGCAATGTCCATAGGCAAAAGGGATCTAAGAGATGGTGCAAAAATAGCAGAGGGCAAAAAGGTCTCAGGAGCAGGAAGTCTAGTGAAGGAGGGCTGAAGATGAGTGACAGGAAGAGATCGAGGTGCCTGAGGAGGGCCTATGGGCCTGGTGGGGGCTGTCTGAACAGGCCCAGGAATGAACTGAATAGTAAAGGCCCTTCCAGGGTCATATCCAGAGACCCATAACCTAATACCATAAAGTAATCCTGCTTTCCAAACAGGATCAGTTGGGATTTTGGGCCTCACTAAGTAGTTCAGGTTGGCCTAAAAATCACTGTGTAGCGCAAGCTGGCTTTGAACTGTCACGCACCACAATGCCCTCCAATAAACTTTTTTTAAAGGAGCTTTTGGAGAAAAGCACTTTTTTTTTCTCTTTGCTTTTTGGTACCAGGAATCAAACTTAAGGCATTGTACTTGACATAGGAGGCACTGAGCTACATCTCCAGCTGTCTTTGGATCTCAACTAAAGTGGTATTTCCAGAGGTCTTCCTAGACAACTTCATTTAGAGTAGATTTTAGAGCTTTTTGGTCTCTTTCATTGCGTACCCTGCAATTATATTAATTTGCCAATCCTTTTCTTTCTGCCTAACCCATGAAAGTACAGTCATGATAAATAAAGTCTTTCTTGTTCACTGTAATATAATCACTGCCTAGCACAGTGCCTAGAATATAACAAAAGCTTACTAAATGTTGAGTAATGAATAAATAATTGTCAGCACATATACATATATATTTATGCAAATATAAGTATTGATATATATGCACAGATACACATACTTATGTACTATATATAAATGCACACATATGTACATATAGCCACACCTATGAGTACACATGCACACAAAGAGATATGATACATATAGAAACTTTGAAAGTGAAAGTGCCATAATGTTACCAGTGATTATTTCTAAGGGATCTATTGTTTCTGTATTGTCTAATCTATGCATTTTTTCTAACATTTCCATAATTTGTGCAGCTTTTATAATAAGAAATAAAATATGAAGATTTGGCATAACCAACAAACAAAAGTATATTATCTTTTGTAATAAAATAAGAAAAATGAAAAAGTTACACGTGATACAAATTAACACAATACACTCTAAAGTCTTTTGAGTATGAGGGACATGGTTCTTAGCATGGGAGTGTAGGTGCTTTCAGAAGCTTTCTGAAAGAATGAGAGAAAGGAAGGGAAAAGATTCAGGTAATAGGAGGAGTGGCAGAGAAACTGAAGGATAGAAGGACAAAAAAAGGGGGAAGAGAGAAAATAAAAAGAAAGAGAGGCAGCAAAGACATATTAGTAAAAAAGAAAAACATGCAGTATTGCCTATGTTGTTGACATTCAAGACTGAGCACTGACTGTCCATTGTATTCATTGAGATTACAATTTTATAAACAATGCTCTTCACAATCACCTAGCATTTGGGAAATATTTTTACACCATTCATCATCAGAAAGAACTTACTGGCTCCACAATATTGAACTTCTTGGATTCCTGAACTTCCTGGATTTGATAAACATAATCAAGAGAAGACTCGAAGAAATTATGTCTCTCTTTGTCCACCTGGAGGTCTGCCTGTAGAAGAACAGCAATATATAACACACATGTGAATAATCATTTCTGGTTGTTTGTTTTTTTGTTTGTTTGATTGGTTGGTTTTGGGTGGAGTTTTTTTGGTGCTGGAGATAAAATTCATGATCTCACATTTGCCTTGCAGGCACTTAGGCCACTGAGCTAAACCGCCGGCTCCATCATTTCTGAAAGTCAGTGATTATAGACTCAACAAGATTCTAGAATCAAACAAGCATGTAGCCACAAGTAGTACACCATCTCACTATTTTAAACAGAATATGGAATTACAAGTTACTGACCAAATCTTCTGGGTTCTAGTCCCACATGTAAGAAGCTTGAAAGTTGTCATACTCACCCTCACAATAGATAGATGGATCGATAAAGAGATAGAGAGATAGATTCTATTTAGAGCCAACAGAGAACTGAAGTCAGAGAGAAACATGATGCTTCAAAGAGCAGATGGCAGTGAACACAGAAAACTAGAGCTTATCACAGCATAAGCCCAGGAGTTAAAACCTGCTGCTGCAGCAAACATGAAAGGACATTACAACTATGAGAAATGCCATCTTTGGATGTATTGAAAAAGAAATTGCTAAAAAAATTCAAATACAAAACAAGGATATGAGAGAAAATCTTAGCCTCTCAGTACAGCAACAGCAAATAAAGCACAGCCTAAGTCCTGGCCAGATAAAATTTTTAAAAATGTTGTAAAGAAAAAATATTCTGAAAAAAATGAACAAGCATCAGAAACAAACTCAAATAATGCAAAAATTGTGGAATTATAAGAGAATGAATTTAAAATAATTATGATAAATACAAGGGCTCTGATGAAAATAGAGGACAATATTCAATAACAGATAGATAACATGAGCATACAGATAAATACTTGAAGAAAAAATTCAAAGAAAATGCCAGCAACATTAAAAATTGTAGCAGAAACAGCAAACGTTTCATGGGGTTATCAGTAGACTGCACAAGGTTGAAGAAAGAATCAGTTCCCTGGGGTGTGGATCACTAACAAAACATCATAAGCTTAAAGGTGTGTCAACTTTATATTTAAAGTTGAATAACTGAAATTCACAAAGAAAAAATAAAAATAAACAAGGAGTAAAGATCCAAGAACTACAGGGCAATTGCCAAAGGATATATATATATATATATATATATATATATATACTATTTTATATATATGTAATATATTACCTTTGGTAATATTCACATGAAACAATATTCACATAAAACAAAGAGAATACAGAGAATGGCCAGCCTAGCCCTTGCATACACAGTGGTCACCATAGGGACTCTCCTACAGGTAGCCAGCACAAGTGGGTAGAAGCAGCAGCCAGGCATACCCCTACAATTATGCTGGCCAATATTGCCTTGAAGGACCTGTAGCCAGCTGAGAGAACCAGCCAGCCGCACCTTAGAGAAGCTGCTAGTGTCTGGAGAAGTCCATCCCATACCATCTTCCTGGGAACCTGAGTTCAGAGAAAACCAGGTGCCCTGAAACATTTCCCTATATCATGTATAGGTAGCCAATATGATGCCAAAACCTGTTCACCTGAAAGAACCAAAAAAAATGCCAAGATGAAGAACCAAAAGGGACTCTCTAGCTTCCAGCCCAAACAGAACAAGTTCAAGGACATGGTCATAGAAGAAACTGGAAGTCTCATACCTGAAATTTCTGGGACAATGTTAAGTAAAGAAACTACTTTATGAGGCTATAAAAGAAATCAGATCAGAAATAATATCTCTTGTAAAAAAAATGACAAATGTAATAAAAGGGTTGCTGAGCATATCTAAAGAAGACACTCACACACACACTCCATAGGAGAATGAGGGAAACCTTGAATGAATAATATAAAGAAGAATTTGGAATAAATAAAACAGACTCAAAAGAGGTATCCAGGAAATTAAAAACTCCATTAACAGTTGGCAAAACTACTTGAAAGAAACTGAAGATAAACTTTCAGACCTTGAAGACAGGATGCCAGCAATAGATAGTGAAAGGAAAGATTTCTTAAAAATAAAAAGTAACCAAGAAATAAAAACTCAATGGCTACAAGATGATGCAAAGAAAAATAATTTAAGAATAATAGGTGTAACTGTCACTGTTTTGTTTTGATTGGTTATATTCTTTTTGTTTTGTTTTGTTTTATTCACTTAAACATAAATAAACAAAAGATGAATAAAAGAAACAAAAGAATATCTGAAGTAAAACTGAGAATTTTCAAAAATAAAAGACAGATACTAATCATAAATACAAGAAGCTAGAGACCACTAACCAAGGAAAACATTTAAAATCTATATACAAGCATATCATATTCAAACAGCATAAAATAAAAGAAAATCTTGACAGAAATCAGAGTAAGGATAAAGAAACTTTTGCATTAAAAGTCCAATGATAACTACATAGGACTTTTTCTTAGAAATGTTTAAGGCTTTAAAAGAATAAACATCAACTTAGAATTCTATATACAATACAATTTTACTATAAAAGTGATGGAAAAGAGAATTTCTCAAACAAGCAAAAATTGAAGAAATGTGTTGGCAGTACACTTTTCTTTTAAGAAAGGCTAGAAGCCATTCTCTAGACAAAAAGAAATCAAGAAAGTCAGAAATTTGAATCTATATAAAGAAAAGAAGAGCACTAGAGAGGTAATAAATAAATATAAAATAAAATCTTATCATCTCCTTTTTGTTAATATTAACTTTATTCTATTTTTAATTGATCTTACAGATAGGAGATTTTCTAAAATAGTGCTGCAAAAATATATTTGGTGACTATTGCTTATAGATAAGTGCAAAGTAGAACAGATATTATTAGGAACAGAAGAAAAAAACTGAAAATACTGTTAAAAAGTTATTTTACTACACAAATAGCAGCATAGTTAGTTAGAAGTATACATGCAATAACAAAGGCATTCTGAAAGCTTTAAAGGAGCCCCTAAAAATGTAACACAGAAAAAAAACAAGTACACTTGATCTGTTAAGAGGACAGAAAAGAAGGTCATATAAATTTTTCAATTGAAGAAATTGGCAGAAAACCAAGTACTAGTATCAAAGTAGACATAATTCCAACATTATGAATCATCATTTTAAATACCAATTGTCTAAGTATATTTTTGATAGATATTAACAAAGCGCAGGAAAAAAGCCAATCATATTGTTATCTAAAAAAAACATTTTAAATGTAAAAACAAATGTAGACTAAAAGTGAAGCTATAGACAAAGGAATATCATGGTATTATTAATCAAAAGAACACTAGAATAGCATTAGTTTCAGGAAAACTACACTAAGGCACAAAGAAATGGAAGATACAACACAGTGTTACAGACTAGTTCAATTTTCTAAGAAGCCCACAAAATCAATAATGTGAACAGAGCAAGAAAATATGTAAGATAAAAAACTGATAGAACTGCAAGGAGAAAAATACATCCACTATGACAGATGGAGATTTTAATCCTAGTACTAATTAACATGGCATAAAATGAATAATGATCAGATAAGGGCCATCGATCTATTGGAAACCAAAAAACTGCACAGACTACTTCACAAAATGGCAGAATAGACATTGTTTTTAAGATCACAGTGGATAATCATTGCAAGAAATCATATTTTGGGATATTTAATACACCTAAACAAATTTAAAGGAAGTGAAGTAACAAAAATTGTGCTCGCAAATTATAGCAGTATTATACTAGAAATCAATAACACAAAAATCTAGAAATTTCTTCAAGCAGTTAAAAAGTAAATTATATGATCCAATGTGCATCAAAAAGGAAGTCAAAATAAATTCTTACATATTTTGAGTTAAATGAAAATGGAAGACAACTCAGGATTTGTGGGATGCAGCAAAAGCAGTAGAAGAAAATTTACATCACTAGGTTCATAAATTAAAAACAAAGAAAGACCAATTAATAATAATCTAAGAAGCTTAAAAATGGCACACTAAAGACTGATAGCAAAATACACCTTCTCTGGTACTAGGAATCAAGTCACCTAGGAAAAAAAAGAACTATGTGAGGAGGAAAAAGAGACAAGTAAATCCCCAGGAATCAGGAGAGAACTGACAGAAAATGTAAAAACTTCAGAGAATCTGGAGAATTAGAGCATGATGAATTGAAAAAACATGAAGCACTCTGGAAAACTCATCCCACTCTCAGGAAGGGGTACATGTTTTTGTTTAAAAAGATAAACCTAGAAAAAAAATGACAGACTGAGCAAGTTTAGTTACTCCCCAACCCCAAAAAATCCCCTGGTTACTGTAAATGCAAAGCATCATGATGTTTTATACTGAAAGTGATACACACCACACAGAAGCCTAGAGTTAGATAAGAAATCCAGGCTGCAGCCACCTGAGGGAGCAAACCACCACCAACTCCTGAGATACATGCCATGTTGGAACTTAGGGCACTGGGAAACCAAGCAACCAGCTCGCCTCCTTGGTAAGCAACTGTGGTGTGGCAGGCTGCAGCCAACCAAGGGGGAGAACTACCAGTGACTCCTAAGATCCACGCCATGTTAGAACTTAGGGTGCTGGGAAACCAAGCAACCAGCTCTCCCCCTTGGTAAGTGGCTGTGGCTTGGCAGGCTGTGGTCACCCCAGGGCTTAAACCACCAGCAACTCCTGAGATCTGCACCATGTTGGACCTTAGGACATTGGGAAACCATGCAACCAGCTGGCCTCCTTGCTAAGCAGTAGTGAGCCTATTGGTGCACAGGCTGAGAAGCAAACATCCCACCTGTACTCCGCCCCCTTAGCAAATGAGAGCCAGAGATCTGAGCATCTCTTGGGAGGTTGACCACATGCAATATAGCAAATAAGCAGAATTTCCTTCTACCATCTCTTTGAAGGCAAATATTTTTAGTACTATTTTGCTTTATTTTGACTAATGGTATTGGTCTATTCAAAAATCTGTTTTGATAAGTTCTATAATATTTTGTATTTTGTTTTATTTTGCTATACTCATTGAAAGAAAAATTATTGTGAAGATAACAA